CTACTGCTGAAAAAAAGAAGAAAGACCAAACGAAGAAATCTGATGACAAAATGCATTTGAATAATAAGAAGTAGTTTATAGAACAAGATTTTCACGAGCTCGTTTGGAGGTGTGTTGAACTGACCTGCTTGGAGTGGAGGAATCCGTATGATGTTGTAGGCCAGTGAGAAATTTTTCCCAAAGCAATTGCCAATGTTGTAAACGGTGCCATCGTTCTCCACGTGGGGGTGAGCTGTGGCCCCATTGACAGAGACGTATTTGCAGAGATCCACCTGGGGACAGAGTGTGGGGAGGCATTGTCTGTCTGGGACGAGGGTGAGCGATGTGGGAAGAGAGGTGAGGCTGCCCTGTGTTGGGAGCTGATTGCCAAAACCTACCTGCTTAATTGTCTCTAGAGTGTCTGGGTTAATTTTGGTGATAAAGTTGGTCTCTGTACAGGCGTAGTAGTCCTCGCCAACGGGGTAGACATTAACGAGGGCATTATCTGTGACCTCCACCCCTTTAAAGTAGGAGAAAAACCTGTGTGGAGGAAGGCAGCAGGGTCAGCAGAGGCCCCGTGGCACGAAGCTGCAGTGCTTGGCAGAGCCCCGATACCTGGAGAAAATGTTCTTGCACGGGTCTGGGTAGGCGTAGGTACCAAATTCAGTTATCACGATCCTCTTCTCTGTCATGGCTCGCACATAAGCATCTGTCCTAACAAACCTGAGGAGGTGAAGCACATTACAGGCAGTCACACCAAGGCAAAAAGCAAGGCAATTCAATTAAAATAAACACAAATACTTTTTGTGATGAGGCTCATGAGAGCTCAGTCCAGCCCCTGGCAGTGACCAGGGTTGCGTTGCAGCATGTGAAGTGCTGGAGCCCTGGACATGGAGGGCAGCTGCAACCCCCAGGAGCACGTTGTCAGTGCAGCTGCAGGCAGCCCCTGCTGCCCTCATCTTCACAGAACATTTCCAAACTGTAAAAAGGCTGCATATTTTGCCATGTGCTGTTGTTGACAGAACTGCAGAATGGCTGGGTTAGAGGGACCTTCCATCCTGTCCAGTTCCAACCCCGTGCCATGGGCAGCTCAAGGTTCCATCCAGCCTGGCCTCGGCACCTCTGGGGACTGGGCACCCCCACTTTTCTGCCCCAGTGCCTCACTTGGGCACAGCTCCCTGCTGGAGCTCCTCCAGTGAGCACAGACCCCAGAAGAACAGCAGTCCTTGGCTGCGTCCCACACCTGCGGTGGTAGGTGACGTGTCCCTCCTTGAAGTCAAACTTGTGCAGCAGTGCCTGGCCATCGAAGAGGTGGTAAAATGGCTCTGCCCCGACCTCAAAGAGGCCAGGCCCGCATCGCAGGAGGCTGCCCCTGAGCCAGGTGGGAATCCTGCCTGCAGCAGATGTAGAAGAATAGTCAAAATATTTTGTCTTCTTTTTTTTTTATCCTGTGTTTATTCAATTTTAAAAGTCGTTATTATTTCAGGACGAGATCATGGATGCTTTTGTGGAATCTCAGAATCATTCAGGTTGGAAAAGCCCTCTAAGATCCCTAAGCCCAACTACTGCCCACGTCCCTCAGTGCCACCTCCCCCCAGCTCTGAACACCCCCAGGGATGCTGACCCCCCTCCCCTGGGCGGCTGTGCGGTGCTGAGCGCTCTTTGGAGCAGAGATGTCCCCCAGCACCCAGCCTGCCCTGCCCTGCACAGCGTGAGCCGTCACCTCTCATCCCATTGCTGCTCCCTGGGAGCAGAGGCTGATCCCCTCTCACCCCAACCTCCTGCCAGGAGCTGTGAGGAGAAATGAGGTCTCCCTTGAGCCTTCTCCCCTCCAGAGAGAAGCCCTTGATGAGCCTTTAGGACTACGGTTTCTTCTTACCCCACAGAGCCATACAACAGGGATCCTTGGAAGCCAAAGATCACTCAACTGCTCTGTCCTTCCTCTACTCCCAGCACATCAACTCAGCCACGTCCCAAACGTGTGAACTTCCTTGATCTCATTTATCCCTGTGTCCCAGGACCTGCAAGTCCCCCAGACCTGACCAAGAACAGCATGGGGCTCCCAGGGCAGGAGGTGGTGAGGGCACACAAACCTGTGACGTGGGCAGTGACGGGGGAGGACAGCTCCTCCACTGTCTCAAAGAGCTTCTTGTAGCCTCCTGCGGGATGCTCCACCCTGCAAGGGACACCAGACCTGTGTTTGCAGCTTCCGAGTGGTGCTGGGAGGACAAAGCTGTCGCTTGCAAAAACCAATGAGGAGAACAGGGAGAAACAACAGGAGGTCTTGGGGGTACAGAGGGGGAACCAGCAGCAGGACAGCAGGCAGCTCATCATACAAGTGGTCTATTGCAGGCACAAGGGACAAACCGAGGACATTTGACGCATCAGGAAGCAGGACACCTTTCAGTAACAAACATCCACCTTACCTCTCCCAAGCCTTGAATAATTCTTTACATTTTTAAGCAAAGTGTTTTGCAGTACACAGCTGAAAATTATTTGCTAAGCTCCAATTCCTGCCTATAGCAAAGCACACAGTTTGCATGGCACTTGGTCCTTGCCTCCAACACAGACCAGCACCTCGGTGCCCCAAAACCCCACGTGATCCCAACCTCACCGCCCCAAGGAGCAACAACCCCCCAGCCCACGTAAGGAGCCCCGGCAGCACTCACTGGCTGTACATTGTCTCGCTGCAGGATTTGAGGCTCCTGGAGCCACATGGGGGTTTTTATGGGTGTGCAGGAAGGAGTGCTGGGAGCTGCGTGCAGCCAACAGGCTCAGTGCTGGAACAGAGGTGGCTTTCAGGCCAAAATCCTCCCGATGCCTTGCGGGGCTTTGTCTTGCTGTTCACACAAAAAGCAGCTTTGAGGGTTTTTTCAGAGACCTAAATTCTTCCCGAGCAGAAGAGATTACAAAGAAAAAAAAAACAATAAAAAAGAGGAACTGGAGCTGCACTTCATCTCAGCTCTGCGCTGCAGTCACCGAGTCCCCATCCTGCGCCGTGCTGAGAAACCAGGTGACACCAGTGATGGCAGGGGAGAGGTGTCACTGCCAGCATCACCAGGCACTGCTGGCTCCTCTCTCCTACAACCACAGAATCACTGAGGTTGGAAAAGCTCTCCAAGCTCCCCAGCCACCCCCAGAGCTCTGGGACGCCCCCAGGATGCTGACCTCCACCCCAGGCAGTCGTGCAGTGCTGAGCACTCATTGGAGAAAAAGCATCTCCAAATACCCAACCCAAGCTATCCATGAGATCTAACCCTTGTTGGATGTGACAGCTTAACATGTTTTTCAAATAAATCTTCTCCAAACGAACCACGACACTCAAACCCAGTCGAGGGCTTTAAAAAAAGCAGACTAATAGGAGTTTAATTCTCACATGAAAGCAAATTAAAAAGCCACAGTGTGGATACAGGAACACGTGGACTTTTCTAAGTGTGGAGTGGAACCTGAGAAGCAGCCCTGAGCCCTTTGCTCACACCAGCCTCCCCTCTCAGAGCAAAGGGGTGCAAAGCAGAACCAAACCTTTGCTCAGCTGTGCAGCACTGAGCCCTCGCTCGCAGTGTTTGTGCCGGTACAGCCACACCAAAACGTTTTCTCTTCCCCAGTGAATGGAAGGCAACCATGAATCCTTCCTCCTATCACTGTTCTTAGAGCAAAGCTATGCTCCATTGAACAGATCATCCTTTTACACCTCATTGACAGGTTACAGCCTGCCATTTCGTGCCTGATGAGCTGCTCCCCAAACAGAATTACAGATATGCAAAAGGAAAGAGTGGTTAAAAGCTCACTCGAGACAAAATGATTTTTAATGTAAGCCCTTCTTAGCTATTTCCATCTGTGGAAACTTCCTACTGCTGGTCAGCCTCTGTTTATTATTTAAGTTTTTCTTAAGTTTGTTAAAAGCTCAGAAGGGAACATTAAATAATTAAATGACATTAAATAACGTGGATCAAGGACCGAGCAACGAGGGCAAGCTGCTGAAAGGCAAGTCCTGAGAAACGTGAGCCTAGTAAGTTGCTGAATTAGAACACAACTAACTAATGCATTTATGAAACACCCAACAGTCCAAGGAGCAGAAGCAAGTTTCTGCAGGTGCAGGATGCTTAGCAGCTGTGCACAGGCATTACAAATGGTTTGTCCAGCAGCTGTGTGAGCACCGGGGTACCACAGGACAGTGAAGTGGGACCAGTATTGGCTGAAATTAAGGGTGAACACTCTAAGCCAGGAAGACCCAAAGGACAAAACCACATAGGAATGGTGTACAATGTAGAAGTGACAATCTTGAGCTGAGAGCCTTATGAATAACACTAAAGTATGTGTGTGTATATATATGTATATAAATACAAATGCTAAGTTGGAACCTTATTATGGAAACACTTTAAGCTGCTCTCTCACAGAAGCACTGACACAGATCCACTGCTTGCTTCTGGGAACAAAACAGGGAAGCTCAGTGCATCCGGATTCTGTTCACTATCCCATCTGCTGTCACCCAGTGCTGTTTGAGAAGGGTCTCATTACACCCAAAATACGCATTCAGGGAAACAGCAGAAATACACAGCATGCTTTAATATAAATAAATATTTTAAGAACTGTTTTGGATGAGAGGAAACAAGAATTTCAAGGAGCCAGATAATCCCTTTCTGGTGAATTTCTGGCCCCCTTAGAAATAACAAAAACAAGTTTTAATTTAGTTCCAAACTGAACTTTGCTTTCTCAAAATGTTTGTCTTTAAACAAAACAAGGCAGGCACTTATTCACACCCAGCAAACAATCAGGAGTGCACACAAACTATAACTCATGGCACCAACTCCTGAATAAACATTACAGACATTACAATATGCACATCATTAGTTTCCCATATAAAAACCATATACAAATTTTTGGTAATTAGTAGCTTCATTTCCACGCTTATTTTGCTTGGCACAATACATTGATTAATTTGTAAACAGTTAAATAACTTCTAGGAAAACAATAAATATAAGTAACTTCCAAAAAAAAAAAAAAAACCAAAAAACCAAGTTATTTGGCACTTCTCAGCATAGTGTTCATGTAAACATTCCTTCCTTCTGTGTGCACAGCCACTGCAGACTGCCTTCCATTCCAAGCACCCCTTGGTCAGGCACACCCCCAGGCAATGTGCAGCAGACATTAATATCTCAGGCTGCGAAATTTGGGTTTCCTTAGGCTCAGCATGGGTTGTTTGATGGTAGGTTTGTTCTCAAACAGCACTGCTTCATTTTCTGTGGTAGGAAATCTGTTCTGGTATATCAGAGGATATTCCTTCTGGAACTAGAAGGTACACAAGAAAGCATTAAATCAGACAAAGAAAGGCAACAAAAACACATGCAAGCCAGCGATGCAGGACACAAGCAGGAATGACTGCATACAGATACATCAGCAGGAAGGGCAAGGCATCAGGCTGTGTCACACCTCTGCTGTGACACTCGACCAAAGCTGCAGCCCTTTGTGCTCCTGAGCTCGACTGATAAACAACAATGAGAAGTTCTGTCAGCCCTTCATCTGCTGTTGAAGTGAGAGCAGTCATTTGATTCTCGTGGTTCTCAGCTGCGGTAACCAGCACAGCCCTTCCAACAGACACCAGCACAGCCCTTCCAACAGA